TTGATAGTACACAAATGTCACCCTGTGTTGCGCGGAAGTCGGTGTTGCGCCTTGGTTTTTTTCTTCCGGCAGCTGCCTGCTGGGCGTTTCTGGTACCCTGATGAAACGCACAAACTGTGAGCGCAGCAGATTTTTTTCGTACGACGGCGACGAATTTTTTAGATAATTGCAATTTTTACGATTGTGGGGTCAAATGAGAGAGGTTTTCAGCTGAAATAGGTCAGAAATAAAAAAAAACAATTGATGGTTGCGTTATAAAATTTCAATAATTTTTATTTTTACACTTCTAACTACTTTGTATGTTAACTTTTTTTGATAAATCGTAGCTACATAGTTCTTGTTTCATACATTTTACACATTCTTCTTTTACAAATTCATATTTGTCTTTTTTCGGTTTCAATTTAACCTTAAATAGTATTTCTCGACTATATCTAACTCAAATAAAAGCAGTGTACACATCTAATGGAAAGCAAGTCATTCATGTTCACCTAAAACCTAACTGAACTCTAGCTAAAAGTAGTTTGTAAAAAATTACGAGTATCTAGCACTCGTAAAAATTTTTAAATACAAAAATTATAAACTATATGCCCTAATTAATAAATACATATACATACTACAAGTACAATAAAATTATTTTACAAATATTGTAAAACTACAATAAAATGCATGCATGTATGTATGTAAATGTAATGTGCGTAGTTTTTGCTATATCTGTCTCTAGTCTTGGCAATAAAAATAGTTAAAAAACAAAACGACTAAAAATTCCTATCTGTATTTAGAGTATATTTGAACAGCGTGCTTCCGGCGTGGCACAGCTAATGGAGCGCGGCAGGAATTGTATGTGCTGCCAAGTCGCCTTGAATCTGCAATCAAAAGAAAAATTGATTCAAATAAAAAATGTAGCGCACAAATTCCCATGCTNCATTGGGTAAATCAAAACGTGCTGCAAGGCTCTCATTGGTCAATATCGTATGCTCGGCTTTGTACTGCTCGACAAAGGTGTAGATTGAATCAATTAAAACTTCCAAAATATCAGCGCCAATGCGTGCAAAATTTATGGGGCTATTATTGTGTGATGAAAGAGAAAAGAAAGAAATAAAAAGCGAGATTAATTAAATTACTAAAGAAAACATTTTAAGGCTGCAGATCTAAAAATGAAGAATGGGAAATTTTTTTAAAAAATACCGGCTTGCGATGTTTTATTTAATGCGAAGTTATAAAAACCAGCTGTCCGCATTTTTTGTAACGTTTTTTATGAAAACATTACGGCCAGCCCAATTTTATAGTGACTCAAACAAGCGTTCGCAAGTAGATCTTTTTTGTATTCACAAACAACATTTTTCAAGTTTGGTTAAATTTTAACGAAAACCATACAATTCAAAGTTTCAACTTTATACAAAATTTAGGAAAATCCCTCAAAATTTCATCAATATGTCGATCTTTTTAATCTGAATCCCAGTGACCGCGGTGAAGAATACTGCTGAGGAAATGCAGTGATCTCCGAAATATCAGGTATAACTTCAACCTACACTGCGGGAAAAAAGTATTGGCACAGCTGTTTTTTTTTTTTTTGTAATATATTTCCGCCAATTTTTTATAAATCTAAAACAAAAAATATAAAGATATAATTTCTAAACTTTGTGCAAAACACGCGAAAATTCAGCAAATTTTCAACTTTTTAATAAGTTTTTAGAATTTATTTGAGTATGCAGATTTGTTGCGTAATCAATTTT